CTGCAGCTGAGTGTCAAAGGATGTCCGAATGATCCCATTAAGGGGATGGCTATGATGGCTTGAATTCTAAAATGCCGTTTTGCAAAAAGAAACCGCTATATAGATCGAAGACCGCTCTGTTAGATGGCAGAAAGACCGAAATGACAGGATTGCGGGGTTATGAAATATGAATTTTTAAGTTAACTAAGTAAGCGGAGTAACGGTGGAAGCAGTGACTGGCTCGGCTCACCATTACCGTACGCATATACGAGTTTGCGCATATTCAATGAAAGCAATGGGGAGCAAAGATTTGTGATCTACATCTTTTGTTTTACTGACAGCCATAAATCGAGCACTGGTCAGTGGAATGAAAGCAAACACCGAAAGACAATAGATTTTGGTCACACATAAGTGTGGTAGGAAGCGGACAATCGCCTGTCTGGATAGTCTCCTTGGTTTGATACATGTGGTGGGCTGTAACAGTCAGCATGTACATGACTGATGTAAACTTGCATGAACTTTCAAAGGCACCCGTTTAAAAAGCGGTCGATAAGCTTTGAAACGTAACTAGTCATTTACGGAGCACATTTTTTATTACAAAAATCACACAGTCGGTGGGTAAACATCTCAAAAGTTTAATTGCGAGAGCGATTTTGAAAAAATTAAGTTTTACCGAAGTTGTTGCTGAAAGAAGCAACTAGAAAAGTGTTTATCGCTCTTTACAACTTTAAAATTTTGTTTTTTCAAAAAAGCTCTCGCAAGGTGCTGGGGGTTTTTATTGTACACTTTGTGACTAGACTTCCCCAAATCTCCCCAGAGTGTGTTCGGACTAGTTAGTTTTTTGGGGTGGCAACTTTAAAACCGATTTTAAAGTGACTCGTTCGGTTTATGTCTGGGTTTGTTAGTACTGAATTTTTCTTGGATTTAACTATGTAAGTAGGTAGATTGAGAAACTGTTTAAGTTTTTGAATAACTATAAATGTTGCACTTTCTAAACGAATTAAGTCAACATAGCCATAGCCTTAAGTAACTGATGTAAAGAAACCTGCAAAAGCACGTCTCTACGGCAAGCGAAATCAAGATGTATCGAAATTCGAAGATGCTCATGTTTTCTTACCAGGAAATCAGATTCCCTTTTTACAAGCGGCACTGCTGAATTTTTGTCGTGTAACGATCGTCGTTGAATATACCTCAGCCGCCCATCCGCAATGTCGGTATAATAAAATGGCCCAATGTCATAAGGATGCTGTTGCATGTGTTCCTGGTTCAGCTGTTTAAGAAGTTCTTCAGCATAATTAGCACATAAAGAGCGGTACTTTTCCGGCAGCTCCACACTGGACATCAGAAACGTGTCTCTTTTCACTGTCTCAGGTCGACTGGTTATGTTCTCGACATTACAACTGTCACGCCCCCTTTCAGAAGGCAAAAACTGCGGTGGCACGGCGCGCCCAGCGGCGACCCACCAGTTACTGCCGACTCCTGGAAGTCTCCTGCGAACACGATGAACTGGGACCATATCGCGGTACTGCTCCTGGTTCCACCAATGGATAAGTGCAATGCCACATAGAACATGATCTATTTGGCGTGGCGGCATGGCCAGTTCAGCCGGCACCCACATCCACGGACCTCCAGCGCTCTCCGGTAGCAGTACTTCTACGGGGATCATCCGCCATGCATCGGAAGTAGAGAGGTCAGCGTCACGAACTGTGTAAGGTTCGGTATTATCGGACAAATATACGCGGTCAAAGGGGGTGAGTTCGCGCCGTCGGTTGGGACAGAGGAGATCGATGGCCCATTGTCCGCCAAGCCCATTACTCGTCCGTAACGAAGTAGGCCGTCTTCGCCCGCAACATCCACGCTGTTGCAGGACATTTCATTCCATATTGACATTGTGGATGAGATTGTTGATTCTAATTTTTAACTGAAAAAAATAATTACCTTTTAGGACAACGCCGAAAAAATGGCAGCGCAAACAACAATGCAATAAAAAAGAAGCTCGGGGAATTTCATAGCGTCAAGAGCTGGACATTAGTACGTAATTAAATCTTAGTTAAATCACGCTGTTGTTCAAGTAAACAGGGTAATAGACTGCAGTACACGTGTAATGTATGGGAGGTGGGCCGGTACATGGTACCAAATTCGTGTACATGCACGAAAACTTCCATGATTTTTTTCAAATTTTAAAATGAATTTTAACATTTTGAAATTCATTTTAAAATTTGAAAAACATGCTAGAACAGGGGATCGGTGTAAAAACGATCTTCATGGACATGCGCATTTATGTGCAAAATTTGAGGGAGAACGGTCCATAATGAGACTTTTGGTACACCTGAATGCGTTTAAACTTTTTGGAATTTTCTAACAGCCATAACTCCCGAACCGGATGTTGCGCGCACAAACGGTTTTCACACCAGTGTATACAAATCTTCTGGCTACAGAATGTCATAAACCGAAACAAAAATGTGTTTGGTAGTGCGCGAAAGTGAAAGTTTTCGTGTATGTACACGAATTTGTGCCATGTACCGGCCAACTTCCCTTAAGTGAATTATTTTTCTTGACAATTGCCCAACTACGTATAACACCCTTCAGAAAGCGAAAAATCGTGCTTATTACGAAAAAAGTGCATCGAGTAACAATGCCAAGAATTAACCATCTAAACCACCTATGTTTATTATTATTATTGTGTACTAATAAACGGTTTTCCCTATTTATCAAGCCATTAAATTGAGTCCTTTAATGCTGGTCATCGATTACAGCTTAAAAACTTTTTTAAAATGTAGTTATGACATTATGATTACAGAATAATAAAGTTTTACTGTACTACTCGTAGTTGGCAACTTCGATGCGAGTGTTGTATCAACCTGATGCGATCCTATCCGCAGCAAAACAAAAATTTAATTATGTCGAGAGTTGAGTGAAGTACTTCTACTCCATACTCGTAGAATGCAGATCGTATAGAACTATGATGCACCATTCCACTTGCTCAAACGTCAAAATGCAGCGTCAGTGCTATTAATTTCTCTTCCTCACGATCGATGATTCGATATGCATTTATTACATTGAACAGTTGTACAGTTACGGAGTTAGTGAGTTACCTATTCAATCAGTCAACATGGCCTATTCAATCAAGTTACCTATTCAATCAGTCATCATGGCCTTTGCCCAATAAAACTCTACAATCAGTCAACATCCATTTTATTGTAATGGTATTACACCGTTTCAGCTGACGATTTTGAGAGAGTACTCGTGCAGACGGGAGGTAGGTATGGCTGCTGCTCCTGTTCTGTTCTACTTTCATGACCCTAATATGCAACGTTTTGTCAAGAGCGCTGGATAAGTACCTGTCTTGCGTTCCTGTATTGTTAACTCTTGTTAGATTTGCCCTCTTCTGTGTCTGCGTGAATGGGAGTAGGGAAACCAAAATTCGGTATCAGACAAGCCTTGCATAAAAGATTTCAGGAAGCAGATACTAATCATACTATAGACCGAGAGTGATTTGTTAGACTGATTTTGCCCGCCGTTGTGGCTGCTGTTTATTTTGTTAATTACCATATGCATGTTGCTGCAAAGATTACAACCTTTATCACGGTTTTGTTTCGTATTAATTTTTAGCATGTATGCAACTTTGCTGCTTGCTTCATGGTGTTCCTTTTTAACTGGACATGAAGAAATCTATTCTCTCTCACACAGTAGTAATATGTTTCGCTATGTTGTCTGCAACAGCCTGTAACTGTAGTCTCCCGACATTATGAGGTTGTAATCCAAAGTCTGAAAGTAAACATTATTCTAATTTAGTGCTATTAACATTTTTCTGAAAATTGCAGCAAAATTTTAAATATTAGTGAAACGGAGTACACTGTTATGCACGTACAGCGATGATGCCGACTTATTGCCAACGAAAACGATGAAAACGATACCACTTCCATTTTCGGGGATTGTCAATTCAGCAAAAGCTTGATACAGCTTGATTTTCAGGAATCATTGCGCCGGATATACTTGTTATAACGAATGTACATATAACTGATCGTGTGCGCCGGACAGAAGTGGTGCGTGCCACTGGACTACTGCCCTGAACGTTACTGGTACAGTACCAGTATATAACGTTCAGGGCTGTATTTTCTTTTTGTTTTTGTCATGAAAATTATATTTTGAAAATCGGTCGGACGTTACGAAAATTTGGAAACCTACTCGTACAACGAAGTCAGGGAACAGTGAGCGGCATTCAAGTCGGCCAACACCGGATACTACATGTAAACCGCATCCGGCGGCCGGCGTTATACCTGTATTTTTCTTCTTGCGGCTGTATTCTCTACCAAAGACTCTACTTACCGGTTAGCAGACTGCGTTTAAATATGATTTCTGAGGTTTCTTGAATTTTTACTTTTTAGATTTTTTAGATTTAAGGTAATAAAATACGGCGGCCGAAATGAATTAAATACTACATAAGGTGCCGATACGAACAAAGCAGCGCTTGTTTGCCCAGTATGAGTTAAAAGTTCAAAACGAAGTACGAGTACTGTATCAACTTTTCTTCGACATTATTGTGACACCAAAAACGTCCATCCGCGATGCCGATTAGAAAGATAGGTGTGTTCCAGTACCCGTCCGGGCTCCGGCTTTTTTAGTAATTTTACGGCCCACCTGGTTCAAATCTTTTCCGGGAATTTTGTTAATAAAAATGCTCTGGCAAGTGGCAGCGCAGCGCTTAAAAATGAAAATTAATGGTGTTGCGGTAGCCTGCAAGCCGCGTCTGACTGCCGTAAGCGGACTGCAGACACGCGGCTGATGACAGTGAGTGAGATGAATACGAATGACAGCGCTTACCGCCCAGACTGGCGGTGTGTACCGTCTAGACATCTGAAAGGCCTGCAGAAACCATTCACCCCGTAATTCATTTCGGTTCATTTCGGGCTTGTCACCAATGCAAGCGCCCGGTGGCGTGCTTACGTAAGACGATAAGACCACGTGCACTACTAGCTAAACAAGTAAAAGTTGACCGATTTTCCTTATCGTGAAAATTATCGGAGACGTCCCAGTTTGAACTTTAAAGTTTAAACTTATGATTTTCGGGATGCATTCTCTTTAAATTTTTAAGGCTCACGTAAAATAAAATTCATAAAAGTAATTTTTGAAGTTCTGTTCCCCGATTGGGAAGATTTTATGTCCAGAATCTGACTCTTCAGGGAAAACCGAATATTCTATTTTCAGATGTTCTTTTTTTCCGGTTTTTACTTTTTCCTGGTTTTTTTCGTTCCTTTATTTGAATTCAAGTTTCGGTGATTTTCCTGCTCTCCAGTAGTTTTTTTGCCGTAGATCGTGATATGCATGTGGCTTGCTTGAAAATCTGAAGGACATGATAATTCTCGCTTTGTGATCTCTCCCACTGTAATCGTCTGATTCGTCTCCCAGTTAAGCATGCCGAAGAAGAAAGCAGGACAGCGTCACACGCCGCGACCTACTGCGCGCACCACGACCAAACCCGCTCCCCCTGCTAAACGCCACACTGCGCCAGGCACATTAGGAACTTCATCCCCGCGTACGAGCCAGTCGGATTCGCAGAATATCACGCCTGTTAACAAGAAAGAAGAGAGCCGTCGTGCTCGGCTGGATCGCGCCTGCAAACGACGCAATGCCAACAGCGGGGTTGATTTGGATGAGCATTTCCGGATTATTGGCCTGCAGATCCGGCGGATGACTGGCGACGGGTACGAAATATTGATAAATCTTTTATTTTGAACCATTTGAGACAATTAATAAGGGTTTCCAAGTCCAAAAACTATTTTTTCGCGATGAAAGGGGACTTCGCTTTTTAAATACGGTTGTTTGAGACATTTTGCCAGTACGCTGTGTTAGTAGTGCATAATCGATACAGGGAATGTGTAGTATACGTCGGTGGAGTTTTGATTCTGCTTACGTCTGCAGTCGATCTGACTTTTAATTTTAACCTTGGACTGCTGAATTTTTAGGAACTGTATGTTCCGTGCGTTTGGTGATCAGTTGGAGGGAAACGAGAACAACCATCGCCATTATCGCACGAACATCGTGGAGCACATTGTAAATACCGTCTAATCAGCGTGCAGATTAAAATTAAAATTTAATTTCGTATTTTCTTTGATTTTATTGTTTTGGATTTTATTTTTTAATCTGATTTGCGGGTGTTTTCAGACCAAGCACAAGGAGCAGTACGACACCTTTCACGAGCTGGAAGAAGAGAAGAATTTTGACATCCGACGTGAGCCACGATTTTGTGGAATATTGTTAATCTATTTTCGTAAATTCTGGCTGTTTTCGCAGTGAAAAAATTATCAAAGAACGGGACGTTTGGCGGACAGGAGTGTTTGGTTGCGTTCGCGCGGGCCTACAATCGTCTGGTGTTCGTCCATCAGCCCGATGAAAAAATCACACTACAGGTAATTATTTTAGATTAGTTTGTGTATTTATTTGTCCGCGTTGTGTTGGAATATTTTGGACAGCAAAATGTTCATAAGTGGAATTTTGATATTATTACTCTTCATATTTTTTAATTGTGATTTTATTGTTTAATAATTATTTTCATATTTTTGCAGTAATTTCTTCTTCTTTTGATTTACCTTAATTGCCTATTGAATTTTTTCCCAGAATTTTCTTTGGTTGTGCTGTGTTCGCGTTGATAGTTGTGGGATGTTTTTTTCGTTTCGAATTTCAGTAGCATAATTTTGTTAATGGATTTCTGTTGCCTCCGTTTTCCTGGTGTTAGTTTTAAATGGGAAATATTGTCAATTTTTTATATCGAATGAGTTATTTATTTGCGACATCGATATGATTAGGATTGCTATTACTTACGTGTTACTAGCCAGTACAGAAATACGAATGAAGGTTTTCATGGATGTCTCGTCATTCATACTTGGTAGAAGTTGTGCAGTATCGTAGTGTGATGGCTATAAATGACTCCCATCTCTGCCTAGTTCACCTTGACGGTATTAAAACACAGCGTCTTATAATACTTTGTACTGTTTCTACTGTACATGTTGAAACATTTTCCGATTTTGTTTGCCATTAAATTTAGTTAAAATTGTTTGAATTTAAACTTAATTAAATTTTTAATGCCGATTGTTTTAATTGCTTGTAACGATGATATCCCAGTTATGTACTTATTTTGGTTCGATGTATCAGGTTGCCTGATTTGTTGTCTGATTTGTCTTTTTTAATTTTGGTGTGTTTTCGGGATAGTTACCGCCCAACCACAACGTCGATCCGGCCAAGCTGAAGCAGGTGCATCTGCTGTACACGGGCGGCAACCACTACGACAGCATCCGTCTGATCAACGACGCCAGCCCCGCCGCCGGCGCCAATGTGTATCTAGTAAGCGAACATGGAACTATTCAGTGCAGTGCTGATACACGACCTAATATTTCCGCATCAGTGCCTGAAGATCAGGGTATCCAGGATGCATCTCAGGAATTCGACGACGATAAAAACGCCGAGGTATTTTATTTTGCTTATTTTTACTTTTCCAGAGTTTCCATGATTTTTTCGTATATTTTGTTTTCACTTGATTTATTATTCGCAGATTACTTTGTTTATTATTACTTTTACTATTATTTATTATTTTTTATTTATTATTAGTTTGTTTATTTATTTGGAAATCACCAGCTTATCGTTGTTATTCCGCAGGATGACGATGGATCGGGGCAAAATGCTGATCTGCTGAAGCACGAACGGGATTCTGGTCTCGGTAAGTAATTGCTTTCACGTGAATTTCAAGTAAATAATTAATTAGCAGGTCAAGCTTCCTCATGAGTATTTGACAATAGTTTTAATAATTAGTAAACGTAAACTGAGACTGTGATGAACCTCAAGAATTTGTTGTTAGTTAATGACTTTATTGTTACGAATCCAACACTGAAGAACTGAATTCATTAATACCAGAACAATTTCAGAAATCTATTTACGATAATTTAATTTTCAAATGACGTTCTCTGTAGGTTCCCTGGAAGGATCCCGAGAACCGTCGATTTCTAGTCGCACCGACGACGATGCGGATGTCGTTCTTGTGCCAACGACTGTCAACGCCAGTCCCGAATTTACGCAGCACGATGCTAATGAAAATGATAAGGGCTTTGAAGATCAAACTACCATCATACTGGATGAATCTCCTATTCATGAGGATGAATCCTTGGTCGATAAAGCGGTGCCGGTGTCCGCGGTTAGCAAAAAGTCTCCGAAATCCGATAATGCAAAGGTAAATGGTCGGATCAGATCGAATTTTTGAAAGAAGCCATTCGGAAGAAATTTAACATTTAGAATTTCCTTTCAGTTACCATTAGAAGCATATCTGCGATTATTCGCTACTTAATTTGTCACTACTTTGTTAGGACGATAATACGCATTTTTAGATTTTTAAATTTTGTAATGAATAAATTGCCGAGGAAATGATAATGCACAAGAGATGGATTTTCTTATTATTTTCGATATATCGATGTGACGATGTGTAAATTTCATAATTTTTTTCTCATTTATTTATTAATAATTTTTGAATTATTGGTGATGTTTGGTACTTTCTGCAGTTTGAATTTTTTTAAGTGATTGCAGTTGTGCTGAACAATAGTCAGTTTTTTTTGGGCAAAAAATGCACCTTTTTTAAGAACGAAAATCGGTGTTCAGAGGAAGGTTTTTTTGGATTATTTTTGGATTATTTTTTTAATTATTGATTATTATTTTTTAATTATTGATTATTAATTATTGATTATTATTATTGATTATTAATTATTTTTTTTTAATTATTGATTATTTTTTTAATTATTGATTTTTTTTTTTGGATTATTTTTTTAATTACTTTTTAATTAATTTGTTGTGTTTTGTTTCTTGTAGCCGTTGTCCAAGAAGGAACGTCGCCGCATGCGCCGTGCCAAGACCGAAATCCCACAGCGAGCTCCCTCGCCGACGACGCCGCCGCCCTGTCCGGTGACGGAACTGAGCTCGGCGATGAAAACGCGCATGGTGCTGGCTTAAAAGTGCTTCCTGAAGAGTTTTAACGCTTTACACGCAGCAAGATGTATATTTTATGTTTTTCGTGAGAGCGCCTGTGTTGAAGGTTTGAGTTTTTCTTTTGTTTTTGCATTTCGGTGCCCTGATGCGCTTTCACGGTTTGCGGCTTGTCGAGGATCATTGTTTGTGATACTCGAGGTGTTTTTTTTAACAGTTACATGGGAATAGTGTCGGTACTTCTCAATAATCAATACTGAAATTTTCGGCTACGGTTTCGTGTCGTGCGTTTGCTTAATTACAAAAACATGTGCGGTACCTGATGAAAATGAAATAAATAAAAATATGCTGTGGATTTAAAGACTTCATATATACAATTAATCGTCGAGATAAAAAATTAATAAAAATTATCGATTATAGTAAACTCAATGTGTAAGTCTTCCGATTTAAATTTCCCAGCGAAATTGTTGGTGGATTGATTGTAGGGATTATTGCTGTACAATTTACTGAAGCTGGTTTTCATGGAAGACGGCGTTTTCTGCGTAGCAATCAGACAGATTTTTGAAAACCGTGTTTCTGCCTGTGGAATGATCTAGCGGATTTTCGTAGTGAATGAAAGAGAGGGCTTTGTATCTCTATCGTGCAACCGTCTTAGTCAACTCAAAAAGTTGGGTTCGGTTTAAACTGCTTGGGAAACGTACGCTACGTTTTATAGCATATTATATTAATTATTCTGCCACATTATTTTTGTACATGACTTTCCCGTCGAAATTTTGTGCTCTGGAAATATTATGCACCCGCTGATTATAATGTAAATACAAATATAGAATTTAATAGCGTTTTACTACTTAATCTGAGTACTTCAATTCAAATAATTATGATGGCAGATAATAAAATATACAATAAATATGAAATATGATAATAAAAATAGGTATATATAAGTACTGTACATAAACTCGAGTATGTTACATCTCGAGCTTCGTAAGCATTACTCACTGTAGGTACAAAGTGGTCCAAGTCCTAAAAACCTTTAAAACTCATAAAACTCTTAAACTTGTACGTACTGTAGTAATGCTTACGAAGCTCGATATGTCCCGGCATCCAAGCAACCACAGGAAGCACAGGATGATGGAAAAGTGGCAACCGTTTAATGATATATAAAAATCAATAATCATAATAAATAATAAATGTAGTTTTTTAAAAGATTTACAAGATTACCCTAGTAATCATTTATCAACACAATTTACCAAAGACAAAAATTAATAATATGTCATGTTAGGGCCTAACGGTGTATACACTGCAAAAAATGAAACTAATTTTGAGCACGGAGAATTGATTTCAGAAAATAATTACATAATCTTGCCGAACTTTGCATCATAGATGTGACACAAAGGAGATATCAGTCGCATGCTAATCGTGTAAAAAACCGTACATCCATGCGGTGATGTGGGTGACAATGTTTGCACCAACTACGACAGAAGACTGTGATTATAACGGCTCAAATTACTCGTAGCTATCTATATTCGTATGGATTTCGTCAAACCAAACGGAAACGTTACTACGATATTAGTCTGTTACTACAAATCATGGTTGGTCTTTATTCGTCAGCATATTAACTGATCGCGAAAATTATGATGTGGTTGGTACTGACTAATCCGCATGCTACTGACTACCAATTATGCTAATTTTGTTTCTGACGTTGTTCAACCATCACTCATCCTCTGAAATCTTAAGTAACGACCAACTTAAATCAACGTCGGCAAACCATGTCGTTCCATTTGAATATCGGATCCAGCGACCACTTCAACGATTTCCACCATCATGATTTCCACCACCATGATTTCCACCATCACAATGACTTCCACAACGATTTCGGCCACCACCACCACCACAATCACGAGGACTACCACAACTTCCAGAACGCCCTGATCGGCGCCTCCCTAATGGCCAGCCTCAACCGGCCGCCCCAGCAGGTCGTCTATCAGCCCATGATGATGTACCCCCCGGGCACCGTGCCCCTGGCGGTGGGCCCGGTGGCCGCCATGCCGCCCAGCAGTAAACGCAAACGCTCCAGCGCCAAATCCGCCCCGCCCCCGGCGGAGGATCCGGAGGAACCGGAGGACCCGCCGGAGGAGAGTCCCTCGGAGGAGGCGGCATCCGGGAAAATCACGGACCAGGATATTCCCGCGGAGGTAGATAAAGTCGGGCAACCGATGGTGACGAACTTTAAAGACAGCGGGCAGCCGAAGGGCAAGAAAAAGAAGAAACGGCAGTCGATGTTGGTGGAGAGCCGGGATAAGCGACGTTACAAGAATGAAAATAAATCCTGCTTTTCGTGCTGTTGTTGATAAAGGAGGAAAAGGTCACCGCTGACTAACAGCCGTAATAACAACGGAGGACCGGGATACATAGCAAGAACGGTGGATTTCTCAATATTGTGAGGTGATTTGATCGTGACCTTTACTAGCATGGAAGAGAATTTGAGAAACCTGGCGCAGTATTTTCAATGGCTTCGCGATCTTTGGAAACTGAATGTCGCGACTCGCAGTTTACAGTATGATGGCGCGAAAACAAATCTGGTCGTGTTCCACATTATTACACCGTTGTTATAATTATTTGAGTGCTTAACTGTGAGTTTTGTATCCTAAAAGAATGCTGCTTTATGGTTATTTAGTGAAAGCGGTATTTGTCTGTGTGAAAATACGTGTTGTTATGCTATCCCAAGAGTATTTCTTGTACATGTTTTAGCAACTGAATTATGAGGAAACACACTGATTTTTAACGATTGTGTGATAGTAGGTACTAGAAAACAGGGATTAGAATTACAGTACCATGTACATGTGTAAGATCAGACTGGGCAATACCGGAGGAATACTAAATTAAAAATTATTTATTGTCAGCCAGCTATTTTTAACAACAGTCTTGTCTTTTTTGTTTCTCGAAGCGATTTATTTATATTTATGCCGGGTCCGGAACAGAGCGACACGAGACAACAAATTAGCCAGTAAAACGAGACTGATCCAGCAGTGAATAAATAACAGTGTCTGGATGAATGTACCTCGTACTTACTTATTTTATGAAACACTTCCATTTAGTCTAAGGTTAATAAAGACAATAGCAAATGCGCAATACATATGCAGCATATGCAATACATAAGCATTATACGGTACCTACTGTATGAAACTGAGTTCTTTCCTTCGTTGAGAAATTAGCCAGTAAAACGAGACTGATCCAGCAGTGAATAAATAACAGTGTCTGGATGAATGTACCTCGTACTTACTTATTTTATGAAACACTTCCATTTAATCTAAGGTTAATAAAGACAATAGCAAATGCGCAATACATATGCAGCATATGCAATACATAAGCATTATACGGTACCTACTGTATGAAACTGAGTTCTTTGAGTTCTTTCCTTCGACCCAGTATTTCCCGAACTGAATGCAACTTATCCGACATTTCTCGAATCGCTTGATCCTAATTTTGTTTTATCCGGATCTGCCAGATCACAGCAGGAAGTGTTTCCTCCACCGTGCAGTTAAAACACGTCGGAAATTTCAGCAAAAATAAGTCAGACGTCCGCACTCTGGACTTGTAGATTCCCATTCCCAGGGCCTTTGAGAGAAAAGGATTACGGGTTTATCGTATATCACCGTGCCGCAATGGTCATTTACTTACTGTACTCAGCGTAGGGTTCGCGCCAGTCCATAATGCGAATCGATCAGTACAGCCAGGAGAAAAACGTTACACGGTGTTTGACCTCCAGAGAAGAAGGCCAACGAATTTAGATTAGACGTCTAACAGCGCAAATCCACCCGGAAACGCAGCCTATTTGCTAAATGCTTTAGATGCCCCTGGGAAACTCTTTAGGAAACCCCCTGGGAAACTCTTTTGCTAAATTCTTTAGACGCCCCGCACCGTTTCCTGCTTTTATCCTCTGTGGCTTGCCATTTATTGACAGTGTCAATAAACGATGAAGTAATCGATCTCCATAAGTGCTGATGCCCGGGCGACGAGGGCAGGCTGCGGCCACCAATTCTTTGGGTCGAAATGGTCACCAGATCGCCATAATCTCTGTGGCGAACGCCATTCCCGGGCGGTAATGAGAAAAGCCAATACATACCGTGACATTGTCTCTCGACCTTAACGAGCCATCAGAATAAGGCAACACGGGAATTTTGGCACTTGCGTGTGCGTTCTACGCAGGTAATGAAGCAATGGCAAGTCGCTCATAAAATCCTCCACAAGCGTAGCATAAACACACCAGCTGCACCGATAATTATATTGCTAAATTTGACCTTTTCCGCCTTGCTTGCATTCTCCTCGGTGCTGATGCCATCCTCGCTCTCGGTCGAACTGCTTGCAGTAGTGGAACGCGGAACTCGTTCTGGGCGACCCTTTGACAAATTGTACAGGGACCATTCATCTGGTATTCGGCTGATCTGGTTGCAATTGTCGGTATTGCACACACATGAATAAATATTTCTGACTTGATTGCTCGGTATTATACACACCGGAGGTACTAGGGCCACCATCAGTGATCCGCAATCGAAGATGGAGTAGATTATGCCCCGTATATCAAATGTCACTCCGCACAGAGATTTCTCGCCGCTGCATATTTTCGTGCTGCACTTTATGCTGTCACCAAAATTACAGTTTGTAGCGCAGCGCAATGAGAAGGCAGCAGACGAAAACACCAATGCAAGAAGTGGAGAGATGCGAGAGATCATCGTACTCGTATATGCGCAGTCACTTTGTAACTGAGGGAAATGGACATGTACAATAAATGCATTATTGTATTGTTTGTCTCCGGATCGTAAGTCCCGTAGACTTTTATTTCAGATCTGCAGGTCCTCTCCCTGAATTTCTGCAATCCTGGAAGAGCATATTTTTCAAAAAATTCTTGAAGTATGCTCTTGCCTGCACGGTGAAAGTTGGTTCGAAAAAACTAACATTTTGCAAGTGTGCAGATGACATTCCAGATGTCTTCCCAAAATATCTAAGTACTAAAGTAAATAACTTAAAGCATTTTTAGGCAATCAATATGGATGTTGCTAACCAATCAATTTATGTTGCAATCATTATGAATATATTAAAAATTCTCAACAACAACAACAACAAATTATGGATGGTAAGGGCCTGAGCTGGTCTACATAAGGAGAGAAAAACTGACGAATGCTGCAGCCGTTTTCACTAGAAAACATACTGCCCGATTTAAACTACAAAAAGCAGCGACGCATTAATGGTTTCAGCTCCTGGACCGGGCTGGACGTATAGGGAAACTATTTCCGGCACCCCCACGGTTTTTGCAAAACCTTTGGGTCGTTTATTTAAGCAGTCGAGTGATTCATTACTATACCTGTGATGCATGGCAACGGGTGCCATTGCAATGTCCTGTTATATAATTATGTGGTGTTTGTGTATTTAGTTGATTAATTATTAAAGAGCACGACGCTCCACGTCGTGACAATACCGTAAATCGTAATGATACTAATGATACTGATAAATCGCAATGATTGTGAAACAGTGCTGTGGGTGAGTGTTTATTTTTTTTTATTTAAAGAAAGATACTCGTATTACCAGTCGATCAAGCAAGACAGAGAAGCATGTTGACAAACTAGACAAAGACGGCAACCCAATTGGACGATATGAAAGGTCATCATGCGCACCACAAAGCCTTTCGTGTACATACTGCGTAGTAATACTATATGTACCCAAATGGATGAACAGCACTGGGCACAGAGACTGCTCGTCGTCGCACATTGTCGGTTCTCTTGTCGAATGTCGATAATGCGGAGTTCTGCGTGAAACGGCCATCGTAAAACTCACCGTAAAACGATAGCATATCCCCAAACTGTTACGTTTCCGGACACTTTCCGTTCTTACAGAATTACATTCATACGCTACTACTATTTACGATTGAAGACGTGCATCTAATATTTCACTTTTCATTTCAATTAAACCAGAAGTACCAATTATTACATATATAGTAGATATTATTGATTTACATAGTGTTTACAAAATGCTGTACGCACTATCATAAAAATATTGTCGACCCAAAAACGCAATGAAATCCGTTACTTTCTTAAACTGCGATCGCTGATTTAGGAGCATAGTTATTTAGTACTGGCAGTTGTTCTGGGAATACGAAACGAAGGTATGTGATATCAGCGTAAATTTTCGCTTGAAATACAACGTAATTTTAAAGCTGGTGCAGGAAGATGACAGACAGCAAAATCCCGAACCCAGTTGCATAATAGTCCCGTGCATGAATTCCCTGCACTGCGGCGCGTGCGGCGGCCACGGTGGAAGCAGCACCAGCGGCGGCAGCATCGGCGGCACCGGGCGTGTCGGGCTCGGCGGACGTAGCGGGCTGGTTGGAACCGGACGCGGCGGATGTGGTGGCACCGGTGCCCGCGACTCCAAAATATACGACATTAACAGTTAGAGTACCAGTAAGCGCGGGAAACGTCGGAGGAGCAGGATACTTGTCCACTTTGTTGCATAAATCTGCTTTGCAAACACAGGATGCAGCTGCCGTACATCCGGTAACATCGGTGTCCACCTTGGTGCAACCGCCATACAGGAAAACTTTTGTGCTCATATCGTATTTCATGCCACAATACGTATGCGATGTTAATTCGGGCATATTTGCAGGCGGACAGGAAACTGTAGTATTGCAAGTGCCAGTTTCACCCGCGTTTGTTGAACTGCAGGAGGCACAGGTCAATGATAGGACCGGAGCAGGCCGTAGCAGGCTCACAAGCAGGATGGCTATGGCGATAAGACCGTGACTGGAAATTGGTTTCATCTCGCTGAGAACTTTTGTCAAGGACTTTGCTGTGCTGACTAAGCAAGTATGACGCAAATATGCCAACCACCTGAATGGATTCCAGTCTTGGCAGCGGAAGTGAGAAATACGCAGATTGACGGCCGAAGCGTAGTAGTACAGCGAAACTCTATTCGAATGTAGAGTTTTCATAAAAAAATTCTTTGGCTGCATTAGCTTATGACATGTATAGCATTGCGTACTTACTGTACTTGATTTCTCAGATTTATCACAGGCACAGAATCTATGTTGCTAAGCTAAGTTGAGTAGGTGTCTACTCAACTTCGGCTGTATGTAAAAGGTGTTTCTTATAAGTTTGACGAGTACTAGTACTTAATTGCGCTAGCTCGTATCAGAATGCTTCGTGTCACGCACGACCTTATCTTCCTTAACAGGAGTTGATTATTACGACCCCTTATTACACAAAGTGGTACTTGTAAGTTGTTGCGTAATGCTGCACGTCATAATATGACATGCAGTGTCAAAGAAAAAATCTTTGTTTCAACCGGCCTCCCCCTGTCCTTTGGAGAAAACAAGCCATGGCCAGATATTACGCATTAAATTCACTAGTAAATAACCTTCGTCCAAGCCGTCTAGGTTAGCGCGAATAAGCAAAACTAACCAGGCACATTTTCCGTGTGTAAATTCAAGAAATCCATCTTTTGTAAAACGATAGTATACTATTTTAGTAAGTTTAAAAAAATATTTCATCTGCCATGGTTAGTGAGGCGTGGCCGCACAAAAATTAAATGAGTGCCGTTCATAGCACTGCATTCTGCCACACATATACAGATACTGCAGTCTGTAATACAGTGCAGCACTATCGCTTCTCTGGAACTTTTGTTATTTTGCTTGCATTGTGCCCTTAAGCCGTTTCATTAAAATAAAAACTCCGATAACCACTATACGTATTTCTGAAAAAATTAAATACCGTCAGCACGATAAGTCTACGGGTCTTCGAGAATGTCAAAACAACACAATTAAGAAATATGTGATGATTGTACTGGAAATTACTGCACAGAGTAGTAATCTAAAACGCGAGCCTGGACCACAAGAAACGCGGACGCGAAGCCGAACCTGGGCTGTTTTTTGTACAATAACAGGATAATGTGTGTAATCGGTATATTATTATACTGATGCATACAATCGATACGCTCTGCTGATTAAATACAAATAGTTGTAACAGGCTAACATCAAAATATTAAAAACTTAAAAGCAGCCTCTAATGTCCGAACTCGGAAGGCCTTAAGAAAGCATAACAGGGCATTTGTTTACTGTGAACGAAACTTGAAAAGCTGAGAAAACAGCTCCAAACTCTTACTTAAGAAAATTAAGGTGCCGGTACAGAAAGGTCACAGACACCATGAGACTGAATCCAGTCATATAACAACGTTGTGCGTGAATCCCCTCCGCCGCGCCGTCCGCGGCGTCCTTGCCGCCGTTTTGAGCGGAGGATGGGGTTATATATTCCACAGACATACGGCCATCGACAGCGGGAAAAGCAGGGTAAGTGTCTTCGGCGTTACACGAATCGGTCTGACAAGCGCAGTTTGGAGATATGCATCCGCTACCATCGAAGGTAGTTTTGGCGCAACCAGAAAACCGGAAGCTTTTTGAGCCGCTGTCATAAGCCATGCCACAGGATGTGTAGTCCGACTTGCCAGCAGGCGGGCAGGTAATTCTGGCGGGGCAGCTGGCAGTTTCGCCATTTTTTGTATGGCAGGCGGTACAAGTGAGTGACTGCACCGGAGAAGGCCGTAACAAACTCACAAGCAGTATAGTTATGGCGATACGACCGTGGGTGGATTTCGTTTTCATCTCACTGAGATCTTTGGTCTTTTCTAGCCAGACGTTGTACAAGGTTAATTACAGGCTGCTTGTGGTAACTTTTGCCGGGACCCGCGTATCACAAAAGCCGGAATCGACAGATGTACAATTTGGTATCGATCTGGGAGTAGCCCAAATAGTCAGTCAAAGCGTAGTACATAGTTCAACGAAAATTTATTCGCAAGCGATGCACTTCTGACAAGGAAATGCTCACTATATTACGTAATAAAAGTAGGTAGAATAGTAATTTCAAAATCTCTTGCAGACACTGATAAGTTGCTAAGCACCGATCAAATTTTGTACAGCCAGGTAAGCAAATGCATATAAGTAAGTATTTTAAAATCCACACTCCATGCGTAAGTATACGGTTATTACGATTCGGGAACACAACTGAGACAAGCATAGAATTCTGATTACTTACACTAGTAACTATTTGTGCAAAAGTCAGTTACAGACTCACAGTTATTTTTAGCAAATTCACTGAGGAATGCATGCCTTTTCTGGCAAAATAATAGGTAAGCGGTAAAGGTACTACCTTTGTAGTACTCGCACGGTCGCACCACGTACGAATAATTGTTAACCATTTTAAATTTTATAATAACCTTAAATGGCAAAGGCTATAAATACGAGTAACTACTTAATGCACATTACGAATCATATTTATTTTGTGATACTACACTGTACCGCAGGAATGTTTTTTTACTACTGTAGCAAAGGGCACTCGCTTTTTGTGGGCACTGCATGACCGAAACGCAGTGCGATTGGATGATACTTAAAAACGCTCGATTGATGCTATTACAATTTACAAGTGTCCGCAAACCGCTGTGCGTAAATATTTGTAGTGTTCTCAATAATAAGTGTAGATTTTTAGCCCCGATTATTTGTACAGATACATAGCTTTGAAATACACATACATAGCTCGATATATTTCGGTATTTTAGCACCGGAAGTCAGTATGTTCGTACACAATCACCGATGGCGTAAAACAGTAAAAGCATATTAACAGCAGAGCTTTCTCTGTAAATAACGCAAAATTAGTGCAAATTTTTTACTCAGGCAGTGCTGTGTAGTATGCACTCCGATGCAGGAAGGACACAGATACCATAATGCCAAATCCAGTAAAACAATGGTGTCGTGCATCCTTCTCCTCTGCTGCGGAACGCGCGATCGGTGTAGTGGGTGTGTCGGTTGCGAGGAGTGTATCAGATACAACGGATAGGTTCGTTGCGGCAGAGGCATTATTCACGGCAGGCGCGAAGGTCGCGCCAGTAGCGTTATTCGAGGCAGACGTGGCTAGATTGACGACATCAATTTGGCCATTAACTGAGGGAAACGTCGGAGGTCCAGGAAGTGTATCCTGCGCATTACACGAATCGGTCCTACAAGCGCAGCTTGAAGACAAACATCCGCTGATGCCACTGAAGGTCGCTCTGGCGCAGCCGGAAAATACGAAGTTGTATGAGCTGCTGTCATAAGTCATGCCACAGGATGTAAAGTCGGGTTTGTCTGCAGGCGGACAGGTAACTGTAGTCTTGCAGGTGGCAGTTTCACCCTTCGATGCACGACAGGAGGCACACGTTAGTGATAACACCGGAGCTGAACGTAACAGATTTATAAAGAGGATGGTTAAGACATTCCGACAGTGACGGGATATTATTAACGCTAATGTCTCGAGAAACGCTAACGAGGAGTTGGGACATTGGCCAACCCAATGCTCAACTGCAAGGTCTCAAGGTAGCTGCAGAACATGCTCGACCACCGGAAGGAATGCTTGCTGGTAAAGAATGCGGATTTAGGGTATGCAGAATGCGCCTGGTGCGCGCTCGCTCCAGGAACCCTGATTCGTGGCCAGGGTGTATATGAGAATGCGAATGCTTGCTGCGTTTCCTTCCGGTGCGGTTCCGTGCGTACCGTGGCGGGAGAGAGCAGTGAGATGGGTTGTGCCTTTAATCAATATACCAGTTGCTAAAGGGTGGGATGGTGGGTAAAGAAAACACACCAAAGGTCACTCGCAAATATTGCAGGTGGAAAACAGAAAAGAAATTTATCGCACAGAGTCTTCAGCAACAAGAAAAGAAAATACAAATTCAGACGCAACAAAAATGACATTCGAATGCAACTCTGCTATAAAGAGCGATATGTGCACAGCCCCCGATGAACAAAGGCAAAATGGCGTCCGACAAGAGGTCAGCCAATCAGTTGCTTTGGTAATGACGTTGCGGATATTTCGGGAACTTTCTAGAGGGCTAGCGTTTCTCTCAACTGCGTTAACCTAAGTTAGCGATATAATCGCTAACTTCTATTCTCATTTTACCGAGAACTGTTGCCTTTCCTTGCCAGAAACTTTACAGCGTTGGCAGATGGCTGGGAAAGCGATGAAAAACCCATGCTTGGCAAAGGCCGGTAACGATTGACTTTCAGTTTGGCATCGGAACTAAGCGTTGCGCATTTTGTCAGCTAGAAAATAGTAGTACAGTGAAAAGCAGTTCATAAATCGTGCAGTTTGTATTAAACTATTCGACTGCACTGAAGTACAAGTACGCAGGTTTGGATATCTAAATTTCTCAGATTTCTCGCAGGCGCAGATATAAGTACAGTGCGTTGCTAAGTCTTCGTGGATTAGTTCCGTAAAATTTAATCAAAACCACTGCTAGTACGTACTTATGCAGCAAACAGTTTTTTTGGCAACGAATTCCGCAAATCCTTGTTGTCTGGCCAGGTTGCTACATTTAACTTGAACGAATATTATTATGGTAAATACCGGTGCAGGAAGGTCAAAGATACCGTGAAACCGAATAGAACTAAAATTTTATAGTGGCCCGCGTGAATTTCATCCGCACCAGCGCGTGCGGCTGGTGTGGAGGACGCAGAGAGCGTTGTGGTGGGAGGAGCTCCGTCTCCATATACCACATTAACTTGTCCGGACGCTTTGGGAAAGTCCGCAGGAAGGGTGTCCTTTGCGTTACACGAATCGGTCTTACAAGCGCAGGATGACGACAGACATCCGCTACCATCAAAAGTCGATTTCGCGCACCCGGAAAACGCGAACGTTTTTGAGGTTGCGTCATAGCTCATGCCGCATGATGTAAAGTCGGGCTTGGCTGCAGACGGGCAGGTAACAGTGGCTTCACAGGCGCCGGTCTCGCCCTTCGATGCACTGCAGGAGGCACACGTCAGTGATAGCACAGGAGCTGGCAGCAGCAGACTCAAACAGGATTGTTGTGGCAGTGAGGCCGTGGTTGGATATCGTTTTCATTGCGCAGAGACTTCCTCGGGAGGAGCTGTACAGTGGTGATTAACGATTCTGTGCGCTAACCCGTGTTGAGAATCTGAGTAAAGTTAGACAGACTAAAATTGCAGTGAAACTGAATTTTATTTAGAATATAATTAAGTAGTACAGCGAAAGCCTAGTCACAAGTTATGCACTTCTAATAAGCCGTTTTTTGGCAGAGTTAAAGTACAATAACATTATATAATGCGCACATTTCCTTACTGTAAGACGTAAGTAACTTCTCGGATTTGTCGCAGACAAAGTAGACTTCAGAACATTGCGAGATTTAACGAAGACTCTTAACGTTGCTAAGATTATCCCGCTGTACAGCAAAAGCCTATTAAAATTAATGTTCATTCAAACAAGTGTATGTTTATTCAACCTATTGTACTATGTACTTTTTGCATGTACGTATTTGTGCAAAGAGCGCCCGCCGAGGTATAATCCCAAGTTCCCAACAGATGGAAAAAGATCTGCCCTTCGGTTTTGTACGACTAAATGCTATCTGTATTAAAGTTACATAGTACGAGGGTAAGTCATTTCGTCGATCGTCATCAAAACGAAAGTACACGATAGCGACCCGTCGTCAAGTCGGACCAGTCTGTTGCTAGACCGTCATTTGTCGAACCTACCGCATGGTCGACAGAGGTACACGCGTCGGTTTGTATAGGTTTCTGAGATTTCAGATTTCTTGGCGTTGTTATTTTACCATTTTTTGGGTTTTTTCTTATTTTACGGCATATCGACGGAGTGTTGGTCGATTCAAGTTACTGAGTGACTGTTAATCACCGTCGAGGTCGCATTCGTGACAGTCGACTTCGCGCGATTAACGTTGTGACGACTGGTGCTGCACATGTGGACTATGGTGTTGATGAGCCAGGCACTGCCGGGGTAAAACAGCATATTGCGCTGCTGATCGGGGTGTGGCTCGGCCGCCGCCGTGGATATCCCTCGAGAAATTATTTCGAACAATTGTACAGTACTCACTGTTTACGCATGTTTGTTTAAAATGTAATTAATGTTTGCACTGAATGCCTAAAATTAAGATACTTTATCATAGGCCATAAAGCACAGTATGAGCTGTTTTTTTACAAAGATTTAAAAGTTTACGATAACACAGTTGCTTGTTTTGTGCGAATGTGGCAGAAAAGTCACGAAGAAGCGCAAATTTCGGCGCACGCTAATATGAATGACGGTGCAGGAGGATCACGGACAGCATGATACCCAATCCAGTTAAATAGTGCTGTGCGCGAATTTCCTCGCCCGCGGCGGTCCCGGCTCCGTACACCACGTTAACTTGCCCTGACGCTTTGGGAAAATCCGCAGGAAGGGTGTCCTTTGCGTTACACGAATCGGTCTTACAAGCGCAGGATGACGACAGGCATCCGCTGCCATCAAAAGTCGATTTCGCGCACCCGGAAAACGCGAACTTTTTTGAGGTTGCGTCATAGTTCATGCCACAGGATGTAAAGTCGGGCTTGGCTGTAGACGGACAAGTAACTGTAGTTTTGCAGTCGCCAGTGTCGCCCTTCGATGCACTGCAGGAGGCACACGTCAGTGATAGCACAGGGGCTGGCCACACCAGGCTCACAAGCATGATGGTTATGGCAGTAAGGCCGTGAGTGGATATCATTTTCGTTTCGCTGAGACCGTTGGTCCTTCCGTGGCAAGAACTGAATATAGTAATTATTGACAACTTGACTTTATCGCGCTGAGCTAACGTATGGAGGATCCGAGGACCGAGCGTGGCGTGTGGCCAAAGTGGAAAGCAGTGCGAGTAGTCTGTAAAACTGAAAAACAGCATCTAGCATTGTGTAAACCAACTAGTAGTAGCAGCTTACCCGGTAGTAGTTCAGCCGAAACTGTACTACGTGGGTTTTCTCAAATTTCTCGCAAGCGCAGATACGTTGCTAAGCTTATTATAATGCCTAAGTTAATAATCTTCAAGGACTACGCTGTATACCAAAAACCATGATGCAAGTGTAATTACATGAGGGTACATATACATGACCATGGTAATTTAGGTAAGTACATCAACCATGGCCATGCGCTACCACATTTTGCAGTTATAACTGAGGACTGAAGAGCATGATCTTTTGCTGGTGGCAATGCAAGATTATGTCGTAAAAGTATGTGAGAATGATAGTCATTATAATTAAGTCAGAAATTCTAGAGGTTAATAAAGAAAATGGACACGAATCACACGGTAATCGCTTACTGTAGCGGCGATAATGTGATTACAATTTGGAGCATGCTTCGGAATTCTATAGCGACATTCCCGCAGTAATACCGTAACCCATGTTTATGTACGCCCTGGTCACAATCATCACGTGGGTTCACATGTTCAGAGTCCGCACGTACTGGTTACAAACCGATAACAATACAATATTGTATCTTTATGTTCATACAAGCTTACCGACCAAAGCGTATTTATGCGCCGTTTTAAACTCCTCGATAACTCGTGGTCAGTTTAAGTCCAGCTTGGTCTTAAAAAATTCCATAGGTGTGCCAATAAATTTTTGTTTGTTTTTAATAACCAGTGGTCAGAAGATGGTTTCACCAGGTCTTAAGTATAGGAAACGTAAAGAGCACTCAAAAAAGTATTCACTGCACAGCAATAAAACGTGCTTTAAAACATAAAGTCTGTAACCACGGAGACTATAGCGGATGCATAAAGACTGCTCTTTAGGTAAAATTATATATTATTACGTCATGCAAAAGTCCATACGTATTTCAGAGCGTCAAAACGTCAGAAATTCAATACGTGTGAACGTCAGAACGTAACACTGTCAGAACGTCATAAAGTAAGAACATCGGAACGTCAGAACGTTAGAACGTCAGAACGTTATAAAGTAAGAACATCAGAACGTTAGAACGTCAGAAGGTTAGAGCGTCAGAACGTCAGAACTTCATAACGTCAGAATGTCAGAACGTTAGAACGTCAGAACGTCATAAAGTAAAAACGTCAGAACGTCAGAACGTCATAACGTCAGAAGGTCAAAACGTCATAAAGTAAGAACATCAGAACGTTAGAACGTCAGAACGTTAGAACGTCAGAACGTCGGAACGTCAGAACGTCAGAACGTGAAAAATTAAAATTGTCAGGACGTCGGAAATTTCGAACGTCAGCCTTTATATTTTCATAATGACCTTTCCGAAACAAAGCCAATACTATCCAGTACTTAGTGCCGAGCGCGGATGCGCGAAGCTACCTTGTATATATGAACTTATATCAAGAACGAACAATACCAAAAACATACTTTAGACTTCCCTCATCCCTACTCGAAGCTACGATCAGTTGCTGGTGTAATCTGTAATACCATCATGTTTCAGACAATTTAACTCTAGCAGACGAATTCAAAATAATCTTGCAAATTCGGAAGGTCCTGGCAGTTATTATCCAATAATTTATGGTGAAGGCTTCGCATACCACCTTTATACCCCCTTTGGCTCCTAATACCACCTTTCGTACCACCTTTGGCTCCTAGTACCACCTTTTGGACACCACTTTTGACTCCGCATACCACCATTTATTTACTACTTAACTTCTGCATGTGTCTATCCATTTTTAGTTTTTTATAACTGGAATAACTGAATGATTACCTAGATTGCGCAGGTACATCCGTATCTACACGATGTGTTTCGTACAATCCCGCATCTAAAGCGGATATATGAAATCAAATCTCGGATTGGTAATTCTCAGGGCTTGTTCTCCGGTGCGTCTTTTTAGTGGAAGCAGTTTTTCTTCGCAAATTATTCTAAAATCCATTTTCGAATACTTTTGCGGGTATACGATGTCTCTGCCGGGCTTTTTTTGTAGAAAAGGACATACGCGAATGCCGCAGCAAATGGCCCACAGTCAACACCATTTTTATATCATTTTATTAAAAGTTTAAAAAAAATTATGGTGGTTTGCGGAGTCAAACGTAGTGTGCAAGAGGTGGTATAAGGAGCCAAAGGCGGTACGAAAGGTGGTACGAAAGGAGCCTAAGGTGGTAAACGGTGGTATGAGGAGCCTTCACCATAATTTAATATGGTTTGATTGAAATGTACTAATATGCAAAATCACAATGACAAATCGCACAAATTTGACAAAACTCTCTTAAACACTGATAGGCGTACCTACCTACAGATAGGCGACCTTACAATGATACCAACAAACATCAAAATGCTGTAGGTTCATGGCGACCTTACATGCCTTTAAAAGTTTGAGCGCAAAGAGCGGTCCGCTGCAGCGTGTTTGAAAGGTGCAATGAAATTAAAGTTATCATAGAGCAACTAATCACAACAGTTATTGATTACCGTAAATAAAGGCCTCGAAAACACGGGTGGCTAACTAAAACGAAGGTCATAAACCAGAACTTCGAGATCGGCGTACGCGAGTCCCTCCAGGTGATAGTAGTGGCGGCGCTCCGATCCCACGGGTTCACAATGAGTAGTCCTTTGGGTTTACACTGACACGTAGCATTACAGTTGGGGAAAGCTGGTCTCTGCGCTTCGTTCAACTGAGCGAGGTCTGGACATCCGTCAGGAAAGTATTTCGATTGACAGTCGTTCCATCCATCGGTGACTTTACACGGGTTGGTGCAGAGTCCTCTGTTACAGTCCCGTTCCTTCGGACATTTCAGGCAAGCCGGACCGGGTTCGTAAGGTATGTTGAAATTTATATTCCCGCTATAACAGGACGAGTGCAACAGATTATAGAATATTCGAAATTTGTATTTGCAGGACAGCTCGGCACTCCCTAGTTCATTTTATTAAATGATTTAGCCCGGTACATGGCACCAAATTCGTGTACGGTATGCATAGGAGAAAAAACCGTTTTGTGCGCGCAACATCCGGTTCGGAAGTTGTGGCTGTAAGAAAACCCCAAAAAGTTTAAATTCCTTCAGTTGTACCAAAAGTTTCGTTATCAACCGACCTCCTATAAATTCCGCATGAAAACGACGCACAGAAGCATGAAGAGCGCTTTTACACCGAACCACGGTCCTAGCACTTTTTTAAAATTTTAAAATGAATTTCAAAATTTTTGACATTCATTTTAAAATTTTAAAAAAACGGTGCAACTCTAATTCGGTGAAAAAACGATTTTCATACTTACGTGCATTTATGTGCAACTTTTAAATGAGGCCGGCTGATAACGAGACTTTTGGTACACATTTAAACCTTTTGGAATTTTTTACAACCATAACTCCCGAACCGGATGTTGCGCGCACAAACGGTTTTTACGCCTATGTATACCGTACAAATCATAGGGCTACAGAAATGTCATAAAAGAAAGCAAATAGGTGTTTCGGAGTGCGCGGAAGTAAGTTTTCCTGCATGTACACGGATTTGGTACCATGTACCGGGCCAAATCCCGCAAGTACACTGAAGATGGAAATTAAAATGAAAGGCCGGGCGTTAATTAATTAGTAATTCCCTATAGTGCCTATACCAAAACTAGAGAAATCCAGTATTGTTATGAATTAATCCTGTATAGTAGTGTACAGACCACTACCACTGTACCACTGTATACCACTACACACAGCTGGCAGTACGGAAGATCAACGCATTGAGTTCTTTTAGCGTTTTAGATCTGCCATACGTGGGCAGTAAACGATTTGCCAACTTACGCAGGATAATAATTGCATGCGAAATAATGTCCCACTTTGTCGCATATTCTGTAGTAGCAGCCCACTGAGTACGTGTCGTTCCATACTACTTGCGTGTAGTGCCCGACTTTCATGAATTCATTTTTGCCGCCCAGCTTGAAGTTCTTGATCTCTGAGTACCACGACCCCACGACGGTGGTCCAGTTGACTGGCTTGTCGCCGCTGTTGGCAAATAAATTCTGACCGCAACCCGGCTCTGCGAACAAACTTGTCCACTGACTTTAAAGTTGATAATTACTTTTTAATTGGTAGGTAGAAGCGATATACCCATAATCGACATAGGAGGCCGGTAATATGAAAAGCATTAGAACGGTCATCGGGTAAAATTATTTTTAACAACAATTATTGATGACCTTTATAATTATGGGATGCCCTTCTATGAGATGACCATCAAAAACTTGATTCAAGAATTTTATTTAACTATTAATGTAAATAAGATGCCTTTCTGGAATTACTTTCTGGTATTCCCTTTATTCCTTCGTATTCTTTTATGGGTATGAAGATTGCCGATAAATAAAAAAAAGAATTTATCACTGTAATATTTTGGGAAGACGTGGGATCCTACAATTGTACAAAACATAATTCAGTAAAATTAACGGAAAATTAAAATACTTAAATTTACTTTTAGGTTTGAGGAAGTCCATGTCGCCCGGTTCCGAGGGGTGGCGGAATACGCATTTGGACGTCCACGTGGCCGCGTCTGCGGCCGCGTCGGCATCCCAAGTCAACTCGAACATTGCCGTCGAGGGGATCTTGGCGCGCAGTACATTATGGGCTTCGAGGATTTCTTTAACGACATCCGGATCTTTCGTGTTGACTTTTGGGCTACCCGGGGGCGGTGTGGGTTCGGCAGTGGTGAGGAAAGGGCAGGCTATAATGTACAACAAAAGTTTCTAATTTTGGTGCATGCAGGGTATTTTGCCGTCTGATTCTGATAATACTATTCTATTACGACACAATTTTTATAAGGTGATTCTCTCAAATGAAGATCCTATACTGCATTTAGCACGATGAGGAATAATCGCTTCTTCTACTTATTCTGTATGGTTCGTCTAAGGTAGGCCCTAACGCAAAAAATGCTGAATAAAAGCATAAATGTTTAAAGTGCTATTATTTTAAAATTAATCTTGAGCGATAAAACATTACTTATTTGCTAATCATATTATTTTTTATTTTTTCAGCCACTGTCAACTTTTCCACCTACTCTAGTCAGCCTAATTTAGTCTTGCATTTTCTATGAGATTATCATTGTTACGCCAGTACAACGCTGTTCTTGGGAACCAGAGAGTAAATCATTATTTTTTTGTGGGCCATAAAAAAATATAGAAAATATTTTTGTGGGCCATAAAAAAATATAGAAAATACAAACTTTAATAAGTGAATGGAAAACTGTAACTAAACGTAAAGAAGCCGCAGACGTTCAAATCATTTTGTCTGCCAGTTGACTAGATTATTCCGTACAAACCATGGCAGCGGTTCTAAAGGTCACCAGCAAAAGCTATCGTGTTAGTCGAAGAACTGCAACAGTCTTGAAAACCAATGACAAACATACTTCTTACCGCTTACGCTGTGTGTCAGCAGTCACCACGAGGACCCACAGATACGTCCTTGTCAAGGCTAATATGGTTGCCCACATACTGGCAGCAAGGAGGTATAGGTTTGTTGCCCACCAAACCAACGCGAATTTGAACCAGAATTGATGTTATATTGTTATGTACTCGTACGTGTTATGTGGGCAGAAGGTTTTGCAGTGTTAGAGTAGTCAGCTCCAGAATCCATATGCTCGCAAAATTGGGCTAAATCATAACGCCGGATAGAATAATTTTGTACGAGTGTGTGTATTAAAATTCAGGCCCGCGGGTATGATTTTGCGTTGGTCAAAATTTTTGAATCTTATCGACAACTACAGTACAGTAGTTCCAATTTCAGGCACGATACAGTACTTAAATCATGATCGACGGCGACACGATCGTACAATACATTGCAGTGGGCAAGTATTTAAATACATAAGTAATAATGATTACTGAATTAGTTATTTAAATAATAACAAAAGGCTCTTCTTTCTTCTGATTTTTAAATTTTGCTGTAGTATTAGTTTTCCGTGGATTTTTCTCCGAGGGCGTCACTACCCTTCTAAAATATCTGCAGACTGTATTTACTTGTATCTGTGTCTGACTGTCTGACAATAAAATAGTCTATTTTATCGTCTGTTACGACTACATACAGTTACGAGCAGACGTTTTACGGTTTTCATGACTGAATTTTGTTAACAATTAGTACTAACAATATTTTTACTATATTTAGTATTTATTAAAGAAAAAACAGTACAAAATAATACAGTCATAATCGTTTTATTTATCAACGGTAATGTTGCGGTCTCAGTCGCGCAAAGCACATCTGGTGTGGTTGTGCACAACCAGCAGTTTATTGTTCCTATCAAATCACTGCAGCAGCCTAAAATATCACTCCATAAAACGAATAAAATTCTAAATTCCACATCGTGTCAGTGTCAGTATGAGCCACCCGAAAAATTTCCATCAACACCGTAAAAACATTTATTAACTCCTTCCATACTCCCGTAATCTACGGTAGCAATACAAGGTTTGTTGCAATTCAGCCCAACTGGCACTTGACGCATTCGCAGTTAGCCGTGATCATGAAACGTCCGTTGGCAATCACCGGTTGGGGTGTCGTCGAACTAGCTGTCGTCCACTCTTCTGGCAGCGAAGGACGTTTCGGTCGTGTTGCAAACTCTTCCGGCGAGACGGTGAACGAGGGATTATAATTGTAGACGCGCTTGTCGCGGTGTAGTGACTGCTCGTTCGCTATATCGTCTCCTTGATAATACTCTGTAAAAGCAATTATTCAGGCTCCTCAATCTACATCATTCGTCACTCTGCGTAAGCGTAAGTACATCCGAATGGGAAAGTAGATGACGTCATTTCTTACCGAAATCTTGACATGTCACAGCCACGACCACAGCCAAAACTGTCAGTACGTGAGTTGAGTGCAACATGCTGTGCGCAACTGGTGACGTAGTCGGTTGAAAGAAGTACTCGCTGTGCCGTACTTGTTCGCCGTATGGATAACCACGGCAAAGTAGAGTTATCGCGCTGTTTTTGTCCGTGCCATAAAAGTATATATAGATATACAGTAATAATAAAAACAATTATTTTGTTTACTGTACCGTACGTACGTATAAACTCGTACATACTGTATGACGTTAATTCTTGATTTCACGGTACGTTGTCTGTTGCATCGCAACCGTTTTTGTTTGATGCGATACGTCATGGAGGAATTTACTACGTATTTCCGAAAGAATAGCTCGAAGTAATCGTATCTGAAAAAACTGACCCTGCGCAACAAGTGCACTTTCTACGTCTTATACTGAAACCTGTCTACTGAAATCGCAAAGCAAAACTTGTTAAAAATTATAAATTCTACGTAAAAACGAATAAGTTTGTAAAAGTGCTAGTAATACTGCGCCGCAACTGGGAATTGATTTTTTTCGGAAGGGAAAATGAAAGGTAAAAATTTTGTTATAGTCCTACACTCACCGTCGCGCAAAGTAGACCTGATGTGGTCGTGCACTACCAACATATTAACGCGAGGTGGCCAGCAACTCGGTCCCTTTGCGGGAATTAACGGGCACACTGCCGACGCGGTAGTCTTTTTAACTACACTGTAGCATATACTACATAAAGAAATTAATGATTTTTGTACTTTAAAATGTGATCAGTAGCAATACCACCATAGAACTGTTCACCTTGCATGCCCCCCTTTACCACCATACAGAATACAGATGGAACTTCTAATTTTATGTTTGTTGGCGAAAATGGTGACTGTATGCATTACAATCATTCATCGGAAACAAAAAACCACGCTCTCCAATATAAGCCATGATAATTTTCGGGAATGATTTTGCAAAGTCGCTAGCCACTTCGCGATAATGTCTTATTCATAATTTCACTGGAGCGTGCCCAAGACGCCACTCCACAAAGCCAATAAATTGTCTACTTATCACAATCAGCATTAGCCTCCCAGGAAATTACCGCCAGCATCTTGAATACAATCACATCTTTAAACCCTCCATACTCTGTACGTCAATAATCATAATCTAGCCATATACTTTGAAGTACCGCTGAGTTTCTTCAGCCCAGCTGACACTTAACGCATTCGCAATTAACCGTGAACTTTCCGCTAGCCACGACCGACGGGGGTGTCGTGGTACTGAGTGTCACCCACTCCGGCGAGGTGCGCGGGGTGGGAGGAGCTTCGGGACGTACATCCCAATTTTGTGGGTATCCGGGAGGGCGAGGGCCCGGCCGATTTGCCCACTCATCCGGTGGTAAGGTGGGTGGGCCAGCTGCACAGTTGTCCGTGACCCGGCTGGCGCTGCCTGGCCGGGCTCCAGGCCGTGTCGCAAGGTCTCCCGGTGACCAAGTATACACGCGCCGCTCGCGGTGTAGTTTTACCTCATCAGCAGCGTCATCTGGGTAATGCTCTACAAAGACCATAGATCAGGTTTTCCCAACTCTCGTTACTGCGTAGAGTTCCAGTGTTGAATGTGGATGATCATGACGTCATTTACCGAGATCCCGGCATATCACCGGCGCAGCCGCTGTCAGCGCGATGAGTACGTGGGTCGCGTACAGCATCGTATGTGCAACGTACTAACTTGGAAGTAGGTACAGTACTCAGCGCGTATTTCCACCGGCGTATAGCTACAGAAAATACTGTACGAGTTTAAAGTGCTGTTATGTACAGTATAGTTTAAAGACAAGAATCTGATGTGTACTGTATGTACGACGTTTCGATTGCACGGTACATATTCGGAAGTTCATCCCATCCCATATGGTTGCATCGCAACCATTCTTGGCCAACGCGGCACATCACGGCGGAGTCTGTTTCTCTTGGAATTTAAGCGTGGGAATTAATCACATTCATAGCTCACTGTTAAATTTTTCGCGGTCTTCAAAACTCCTTAAAATAGGTGTAATTACGCAGTATAGGCAGTGTTTTTCGAAGCAGTATTTTACCGGTCTTTGATGAGAAACATATAAAAAACAGTTTTTAATATTTGTTGCTTAAGTTATAAATTATTATCTATTATTCTCCGTTGACGATGGATACAACCGTGTACGTTCTTCTGTTCATCAGCGTGGCCGCGGTGCCGGCGCTCAGCTGGTACGTCCCTCCTTTCGGCGCGCGTATGGACGCCGTGTATGCCTTTCAAACCCCAGACAACGGTAAGCGCTTTCCGTGAAATACCTGCGCCAATAAATTGTCGAAAACCAATTATAAAATTTAACCGGAAATTATTAAAAATGCTATTGTAATTTAAAATTAATATTTAAAATATTATTATTATGAATTTCTTTATAAAATAAAAAATTTAATTAAGCTTAAACTAGAACGCTGATAAATCTCACAGGCGCCCCGGCCAAACCCCCGGCACCCGCCATCCCACCGCCCGCCAAGCCGGTGACCGGCAAGACACACAGCGAGAAGACCAAGGATAATGTGAAGAGCGCCCAAAACGCCGGTGATCTGCCAATTGCCTTTGACGCGGGGGCCACTACCGTCGCCGCTGCCGGCGCCACCACCAACGCTTCGAAGAGCCTGGCCGTGTCCGTGCAAGGTACGTCATCCCGGTTGATTTTTTCGAATCTCACCATTTCCAGGAGTTTAAAAATTTTTTGCTTGGTGTTATAGTGCCAAGTTTGACGACCCTGTACGGCGGATTCTTCACTGGTTTCTTGGTAAGTACTGTAATGGTGACCTTTGATAGCAAATAAAAAATTAAAAAAATATAAAAATAATGAAAAAAAGAAATAAAAATCTATAAATAAAATCTATAAATACTCTGTAAATATTTAGAAATAAAATATAATGTATAAATCTATAAAATAATCTATAAAGAAAATATTGATATAAAAATATGTCATAATAAAAAAGATATTGAAAATTGATAATGTGTTTGGATTTGTAGATGTTGGAAGGATACATTCGCTTCGAATTGTGAGCCGTAATTTTGTTGTCTTGTTAGTTTTTCTTCGTTTGTTCAGCCTGGGATCACTTTCTTGTTTCCTTGACCTGTATTTGTGTAAACTAGTTTTGTCTTTTTTCTTGTTTTTGTGTAGCATTGTGTACCTAATATCGAACGCATACCAAAGATAACTGTTGTTGTGAAATTGTGTCTTTTTTTATTCGTCAAAATAAATGGAATTAAATTTTATGCATTTTGTTCAGCGTCTGATTGAAAATACCGGTTTGGAAAGTGGCAGCAGACTATTTATTTGATTTTAATTTCGCACATAATGGCAAATATGCCAGTACAGTAGATTCGGAATACTGTTGTGCGGCGTAAAAAAGGGCAGATGATCACCGTAGGCTTGCTGCACCGTGTTGGTTTCGGAAAATACTGGCAGCCATAAATGCCGGCTCCGCATACCGATCACTTCCTGGCAGACCATCGTTTTGGCCAGCAGGACAAATGGCCTTGTCGTTGGAAGGCGGATAGGAATCTAAACAACACAAAAAATGTTTTTTTTATTTTTCAGGCATGAAAATCTATTTTATAAAATTAAAAATTATTTAGTTTTAATTCCGGTGAATTACAAAGATTATAAAAGCGCTCAGTAAGCATTCGATCGAGACATGTCGCACTGATTCGATCGATGATATCATTACATTAATTAACTCACGTGTCATATATTTCCACGTGTCATGATTACGTGGAACGGGAATTTGCGCTGTAACAGAACCGGAAGTAGCCTGCACGGTTAATACGAAAACTGTTATAAATTTCTGAAAGTGAAAAACATCTTGCAAAATTAAAATTAAATCGACAGTAATTAGTTAGGCAAAGAAAAAGTTATACCAAAAAACCATGACTGCATATTTTAAAATTACTTGTTGCAAGCGGTCCATTTTTTTTGTCAAAAAATAACTGAATAACTGAAAAGGTGCTCACGTAAATTAGCAGCCGATAAAAAATTAAAAGTAAAATTACACAAATTAGCGAACATAATACATAAAGAAAATTAATTAGGAAAACAAAGAAAGAAAATAAAAAAAGATGATTACCCACGGTTTTTTTATACGGGATACAGTTTTCTCAAAAAAAGAAAAAAAAAGAAAAATAATAGTTAAGTGCATTTTGTCATACGGGCAACAGTTTTCTCAGGAATGATTAAAATTAAAGAACTAAAATAAAGAATAATACTTATTACAGTTCTGTTAGACAGGCATCAGTTTTCTCAAAATAATTGAAACTAAGAAGAAAAAAAACAAAGAATAACACTAAAAAACAATTTTGTTAGGCCGGCAACAGTTTCCTCAAGGAAGACACAGTAAAAGCCAGAAATCGCTGACCTCGGCATCACCGTCATTCCGGCAGCAGAACTTATAGATCGTCCCGCAGAAATGCGGCTCTTCCCGCTCATCATGACACTGGTAACTCTCGCCTTCCGGTAGTTCCCCGTTTTCCGCATTAATCGGCACCTTGACGTCGTTGAGGAAATAAGTACCGCTGTGGAAACCGTCCGGACAGGGACCGCGCCGTGACCGGAAGAGGCAGTAGGCGCCGGGCTCAAAGTGCACCGTCGGCGGCGACTGCAGCGCCCCGTTGGGGGCGGGCGTGACCGTGGGAAACTGGTTGGTCTTCTTCATGCAGAAATTCAGGTACAGCTCGTTATAGGCGCTCAGGAAGCCCACGTCCACGAAGGTCTCGGCGCTGCCGATAAAGCCGGTCTGCACTTTATGGTAGCGTTTACCTGCGACATTTAAACACTGGAGTGACCGAGTCACCGAATGCTGAGAGCATTATTATGGGAGAAAATTGTTTTTAAGAAAATCTAAAGAATTTTATTATACACATTTTATTTATTTATACATACCAACAGCCAAAAAATTCTCTACAATTTAATCTAATTCAGTAAAATAATAATTTAAAAATATTAGCAGATGTCAACAACTGTTCCTGGCGCTAATTATTAGCTCGAAAAAATTGCTTTTGATCAAACTCGTTATGATATTTAGTTTTCCATGATTTTTATTTGGCTTTCCATTTAGCGAGTTTCTGTACGGAAAAGATTTGAAGCCCGTGCACTACGTTCTTGCTCCTTCACAACAAACAATTGAATTTGTATAAGTATCAATATTTTGGATGATCAACGGAAAAGCTTTTCCTTGCCTAGAGTAACGTGAATTGTAACGTACACAATAAATGTAAATGTATAATTTTGTAAATGTAAATGTATGTAAAATATAAATGTATAATTTTGTAAATGTAAATGTATGTAAAATGTAAATGTGCGTAAAATGTAAATGTATCTACGGTATGTAAGTGTATGTATTCAATTGTGTAAATGTAAAGTAAATGTAAATACATTTGTAAATGTGTTTGTGAATTGAAAATAATTTCACTATTATTACCGGTAATCCAGGTGGCCATGGCGTTTCCCGCCGGACACCCGCCCGTCTGATCCCGCACCCGCAGCAGCCCGTAGTGCCCTTCCGGCCAACCGCACGTCTCATTGGCGCACACCCGCTGATTATGCAGATGCGCCGGCATGACCTCCACGTTCCGCGGCAACGGCACCGTCACCGTCTCCCCTCGTGCCGGGGAGTTACTCCCACAGGTCACCGGCACCGGGAGGGGGCCGCGCGGTCGCTTCTCCGCCGTCTTACTGGTGTTGATCTTCACCGCCATCTCCACCAGCGCAATCTTGACATTGCGCCGTAGTTTGATGACCATTTCCGGCGACTGCAGATGATCGCATAATAGCTCCGAGTCGTTGAAGTGGTCCAGACTGAACACCTCCGAGAGTTCCCGCAGGACGAAACTCAACGGGTGGGGAAAGGTCACCGAGCCGGCCAGGGCGTGGGTAGTGGCGTTGGGCGGGAGACGGAGGAGGGCGGCGGCGATGAGAGAGGGCGAGACGGCCGATTGGTCCGTCGGGAAGGCGGGGCAGTCTCTGTTCCGGACGCCTTGGTATTCCCTGAAAGCAACCACGAACATAAAAAATTAATATGCGTCTTGTAAGGCGTACAAGTTTGTGGTGTTGGCATTGCATGACAATAAACTGACAAATACGCTGTAGTAATAAGCAAAAATCAAAAATGGTTTTATAATACGTTTTTTTTCGAAAAACCAGAAACTCTGTACAAGAAATTTAGATTATTTAGTATACGAAAAAAATTTCGGAAACTGCGTGGCTCTTCTAGGTTTAGTTCTGGCCTGATTTACAATATGGATTAACTTTCAAATTTAGCCGATACACTACGTTTTCACTTCATCTCATACCCGGTAGCACTTGTAATGCGTGTTATTAGTTGTACATATCTGTAAATGTGGTGATCGTTTGCCCCGTTAACGTTCGAAACGATTTTATCATTAAGTACTTCTACAGCTCTCCTAAAACATTTTTTCAGTGAATTTAACTGCGCTTTAGAAAATTTCACCAACAACGTCTTAGTGTGCTGCTGTTAAACGAATTAGAAGAATACTGCTGTTTTTTTAAAAACAGTAATTTAAGATTCATGCTGTTCACACTTACTTATTAATGCGCACGAACTGTAGAGTATATGCAGCACACAAAAATAGTGTGGGCAGAAATAGGCTTGCGCTTGCACACCGTAAAGAATAAAAATGCATTAATTCACCGTAAAAAAATCTTCAAGTAATTCAATGGATATGTAGTTTCGTTATTAATGCTGTTACACTCCAGCAGTACTCACGTACAGTGCAATAATTTAAGTGGCACTACCTATTGCAAGTTAACTTATGATTTCTATTAAAAGATATCAGCATACTGATGTCACTAATTAATTAATGTCAATTATAGCGTCAACAATTAATAAATTAATGTCAGTAAATAGTGTCAATAGTTAATTAATAATTAATTAATGTCAATTAATTAATTAATGTAATTGTCAGTTATTATTATTAATGCAAGTATTTAATGTGAAGTTTATCTTCGAGAAAAAATAACAAATACCTGATTTTTTGCAACAGTAAATACCACTGTACGCGCAGCATGGTTTGTTCGAGAATAATAAAAATTATGCGTTACTCAAAGATGTTCTGCCGGCGGACGATGGTCCGTTCCGTGGCGATCTCCCCGGCCTGGACACCGACGATGATGTGCGTCCCGAATTCGCCCAACAGCGCCGCATACGTTTCGTAATCATAATGCACTGGCAGCTCGCACACGGCGGCAATGAACGTCGACGACAGAGTTTTGTGAGAGCGGTAGTTGTACAAGATGTTCTCGTACACCGCCCACCGTCGGCGCTCTACCATGACGGCACCGTCGTCCAACTCCTCCGCCACGGTGTCGTAGGTCTGCGTGGAGAGACCGATGATTTCCGGTAGGGCCAGACTGTTCGGACCTGTTCATCCCGACAATTTGTTTACACGGAACCGACGTTACACAATTAATCAAACTACCCAGTAGACACACAGCTACTATAAAAGTATAATGTTATGTCGGTTAACCCACCAACGCCGGGTACAAGAAGGAGTGGGAATACTGATTGGAAAATTGGTATTCCACGATCAAATAATTCAATTAAGAAAAATAATTTTTTGTGGCATTTTTGTGACCATAGGTCAAGCAGAGCACCACGATGCCAAAATGGCACGCATGGGAACTGAGCCAAAAGGCACAGTACAGTTTAGTGTTAATAGCAATTTACAGAAAAATCGCATCAAAACTTGGTGTAACTTAAATAAAAGACCTCAAAAAGCGTTATGCAACTGAATGATACGAATGGTCAGCAAGATGACCAGTGGTCAGCACAAATAAAAAATGACCTAAACCACCTATCTGAGCTGGGATACCGTGAACACGACATAAAATGCCGAGCATACTGCCAAAAACCAATTTGACACCCAGGGATCTAGGAAAACAGCATCTGGCACATTATGCAAGCGGTAGAACAAGTTAAGTCGAAGGGAGCACGTACTACAACAAACTTTGTGGTGCTTCAGCCGGTCTGAATGTTACAGAAATGCTTGCAGTACAATGCGCTATTTTCGACTACGACTGCCATAAACTCGGTCGGAAGCTATCGCGAACGTGCAAGAACTGATTAACGTACCCTGCGACTGGCAACCAGGCTACAAACTGGGCAGCACTCAGTACTGTATAGGGACGTGTCCACTGCAAGTAGCAGTTTTGGCAGACTAGATTTACAATTAGGTTTTATTATTATTATTATTAACCCGGAACAACAATC